TAGCGTGTGTACGGGTAACGTGTGTATATGTAGCGTGTGTACGTTTAGCGTGATGACATATAGCGTGTAGTTATTCACAGTAAGCGGTATCGTGCCATCAGACAATCGCTCGCTGTAATGCGGAAGTTTCTACCCTCGTGAACAAATACATTAACTGAAGCGAGCGCAACGTACCTTGAATGGGACCTAAATTTTTGTCAACATTTTGGTCGGTGCTCTGAATAGTTGGAAGCTTGTTTATGTGACAATTTTGTGTAGGGGAACATTAAATCAAAGGTCCTCTAGAATGAGCATTCCTTTTACCAGATAGGCTGTCGGTTGCACTCGAGTGAAGTGCACGAGTTCTGAACTATACTCACTATTATTCGGTATAAATGACTATTGATTTCATGATAACTTCTATCGATGCAGCAGTTGCTATTTTTGAGATAAAAAATTCGATTTTACTTGTTCGATTTTGAGATAAAAAAATTCTATTTTACCACTTGTAGCAACTGGATAGCATTAAATGCGCAGACTAGAAAGATAAATTAAAAACAGAGTTTGATGTGCGCATGTAAATTTATCGTAATTTACCAATAAGAACATTACGTAACGTAATGCATGTTTCGATCGTAATGTAACGTTTTCACATAGAATAGATGAATGATTTTCGCTGACTTGATCCAAAAATATGATGGCAAATTTAAGTTACGTGTAAATGTGACAAAATAAAACGGATGTGCTATCTGTGCAATCTTTGATAAACGCTGATCAGAATCTTACTCTTCGGTCGGATTAAATAATGAAATTAAATCTATACTTCAGTGTTCTTTAAGATTTAATTAATCGTTGAAAGAAGTTAGATCTGATCTGTTTAGTGAAGCATAATTGTTTTAAATCATAAAATAACATTGTAAGTATGCACTTACAGGACAAAATATTTTCAAGCAAACACATTTATCATTAAATTACTACACTACACGACTTCACACTAATTTAAATTACTACAAACTACACTAATTTCAACCAGTGTTTTCAATTTATTTTTTAATATGGAAGAAGAGTGGTTTGTGGTCTCATTAATTCAGTTACTTAGCGATCGTATCTTGTTTGCTTTCCTCATTTAGGCATTTATTTTCGTACCGTTTTACTGGGCAAAAAATACACTTGTCTCCATCGTCGTATAAACAACAATAAACCCAACCGCAGGAATGAATACGTAGCAAATTATAGCCTAATTGAGTAGCACTTTTTGCCTCTCACAAGTCGGCCATAATGATAAGTCGGTCATAATGACCGACTCACGACCGGTCACGATAAGTCGGTCATAATGACCGACTCACGACCGGTCACGATAAGTCGGTCATAATGACCGACTCATCGTGATAAAATGGCGTATCAGTTCTACGTCCATTCTCTGCTGGTGCTGTGAAAAGTGCGTCAGGAATTGGACGTTTTGACCCATTAATTTGCCAGAGTGACCTGACATGAGAATCATTTTATAATTATCATTCATTTACAAATTGCGTGTAACTGAAGTTCGTCAATTAAGTGTCGGTAGCAGACAATATGCCTGTGATAGATCAAACAATGTCGTTGCTCCTTGCAACGCTCATAACAACCTCTCCATCAACAACTTCAAATAAATGAAGAATTAATAACATGAAAGACAACCTCTATTACAACAGCTCCAAATAAATGAAGAATTAATAACATGAAAGACGACCTCTATTTTAACAGCTCAAGATAACTGATGAATTAATAACATGAAAGACGACCTCGCGTTCACGCGTCCGGCAAACTGTCGCCTTGGTCACCAGTAACTCTGCCGGTAATTTAATTGCGTGTAAATTCTCAGAAGAGGAGCAACAAGCACAGAACTGACCGCATACGCAAAATGTTGTTCAAAGCTTGCAACATTTCGAAATATTATTAACTGGTAGAAGTAAATTTAGATTGAATCATTTTTTAAAGACATAACTTACATGCTAGTCGTTTTTCGTACTTATTTGCTATTCAACCAATTCTCTTTCATTGATTAGTTTCCTCAAGAAAATACCCCCTAATCTCTATTTGAAATATTTTCAGAAATATTTCTAAAAAATTACAAATGATCCAGGAGCAAAACGCTATGGTTAGGAAATATTACCATCATGCAAGTATATGAAATTCAACAACCGCATGAGTGATTCTGGTCTAGTCAATTTTAATGATTGAATTTTTATTCATTTAGTCTGGCCTTCAAAGTACTCAAATAAAGAGAAGCGTTAGCTTGACAATCGTTATTTATGCGAACAAATCCCGAACAAGACATATTTTAAGAAATTATGTTGTTTGAAATTAGTTGATACCGCTTAAGTGAATTATTGATTGGATTTACTCAATTTAATTACTATCTATTACTTAATTTACTATCAATTATTTCATATGTTTTCTTAGCATTCAATAAACTTCTTGATCCATGAACGTCAGAAGGATAAAATTTTCTGATCCGAGCCAAGCCAAATCAGTGGGATAAAAATAAAACCCAAACACATCGATTGGACCAAAATTCGTATAAACACGTCATTGAGAAAAATCCTTCGCATTGTTCCTGCAGGTTTCCCTCAAAAGAAAAAAAGACAAGGTTTTTGTGGTCACGTCAAAGGATGAGGGGAGATGCAGAAATGAATTCCGTGCTTCAGCAAAACAAGTCTACGGGGAAAGCCGCCGTATTCCAGTCACGCTCTCGCGAGCTTCGGTTTGTGTTGGCACTAAGACTGCAAATGAACGGAAGGAGATCTGAACGAAACGTATGACAAATTCAAGCTGTGCGTCCAAGAGCATTCGAATGAATTTGAAAGGCACTTGAATTAACTTTAACCGAAGAAGTTGTTTTCAAGTTAATAGACAGCAACCTTAATTTGTACATAATTTATTTGTAATAATAATTTTAATATTATTTGTGGATTGTGCATGAGATTGCATAAGCAAAGAGTGAGGGAGCGCATCTGTCCATAAAAATTGGACTACAAGCCATGATTTCAAGAATCATGATTTCAAGAATCATTCATAGATATATGAGGCTAAAAGTCATTCCCCATAGATACCCTATATGAGGTTAAGAGTCATTCCTCATAGATATATGAGGCTAAGAGTCATTCCTCATAGATATATGAGGCTAAGAGTCATTCCCTATACATACCTTTTATGAGGTTAAGAGTCATTCCCCATAGATATTTGAGGCTAAGAGTCATTTCCTATCGATACCTATATGAGGTTAAGAGTCATTCCCATAGATATTTGAGGCTAAGAGTCATTCCCTATAGATATTTGAGGCTAAGAGTCATTCCCCATAGATGCCTCATATGAGGTTGAGAGTCATTCCCTATAGCCTCATTCTTTAAAGCTATTCCCTATAGCCAACGAGACAAGAGGCTCGGGGAAATTGCCGCTTTTTATTCTGTGGGGAATACAAAGACCGGGGGACCCATGCCTCCAGCGCGTGGGGCTGCACAAATCATGAGCTACGGAATGGGGAAATTTTCGGCGGATTAAGGGTGGCCGACTGCCAGCCACTTGTCGTGTCTCGCCGAAATTAAAAAAAAAAGTCTTCTCGAAAGTCATCATTTTCAGAAGGATGAAAGTAGCCAAAGCTGAATTTTTAATTTTAAATAAAAAAATTAAATTAAATATCCAACTAGTTTCAACAAATTTGATTCAACTCCTATCAAACAAGTTTCATTATTATGTTAAACCCCATACTTTACACATTGATCATCCGTTCGTTGAATATTCAGAAATTATTGAAATTGAATAATTAGAAGTAAATTATACGCTTAATAACGGAAATACACAGAGTATAATCCTGGAATGAAAAAACAAAGAGTTACTGAAAGCCATGACCTTGAGCACACATAGTTGAACTAATTCGCTATTATCTATTAGTGTGGGTATTATTTGATCAATGGTGAACGCTGAACAATGCTTCAACACGCCGAGCACTATGCAATATATCCCTCGAAAGATATATCCCTTGAATATAGCGAATAACAGTGGTGGATAATTCAGATGCTTCATAGAAACCAGAACAATGATCCCAAGTCAAAATTTGGAACTGTGTTTTGAGCCGAGCTGGCACCGCTCAAGGCAGCTTTGAGCCGAGCTGGTGCCGCTCAAGGCAGCTTACAGCCGAGCTGGCACCGCTCTAGGCAACTTTGAGCCGAGCTGGTGCCGCTCAAGGCAGATTTGAGCCGAGCTGGTGCCGCGCAAGGCAGATTTGTGCCGAGCTGGTGCCACTCAAGGCAGCTTTGAGCCAAGCTGGCGCCGCTCAATGCAGATTTGTGCTGAGCTGGTGCCACTCAATGCAGCTTTGAGCCGAGCTGGCGCTGCTCAAGGCAGATTTGAGCCGAGCTGGCGCCGCTCAAGGCAGATTTGAGCCGAGCTGGCGCCGCTCAAGGCAGCTTTGAGCCGAGCTGGTACCGCGCAAGGCAAGCTAGAAACAGTGGGAGAGCAGACATGTGGCAGGCATGTCACTTTTTCAGGACTATGTTTATTATAAATGAAATCCATGCTGCAAATAGCACAATTCCACCGTTAGCGACTCAAATCCCGCTTCAAACCCGCTGGTGTGTGGCATTGCAGCAATTATGCCCGATCCTGCACAAAATTTGCATCAAAATAGTTCTGTTGCTTCAATCGATGCAGATAACTGTTCCGAATACCAACCGAGGACCGTCCTTATCCTTTATGGTCCCACGTACAGTTGTAAAAAAATATTAGAGCCTTGAATATATGAAGCCAAAATTCAAAATTTTAGATAATTCTGACATCAAGATGTAAACCGATGAAATGAATCAATTTTTTGTTGCCCAATGATAAATAACAATAACTCTGACCTGCTTGATGACAACGGAGAAGTATGGGCCCTGATATGAGACATTGTCAGTGTTGTATGGGCCCTGATATGAGAGGGGAGAGTCCATCTGATAGAAGTATGGGCCCTGAATTTAGTAATGATGAATATCAGTAACTCTGACCTGCTTGATGACAACGGAGAAGATGTGGCCGTAGAAGAAGGCCATGAGGATGCCTGGCCCGACGATGGTGGTGAGGTAGAGGAAGACGAGGTAGGACGGGTCCATCACCGCCGTGAAGAGGCAGAGGCGGCACTCCAAGTGCCACCCGAACAGCGGCAGCAGTCCGATGACGGTACCAAGCACCCAGCATACCAGGATGATGCCTGCGCAGTGTTGAATATTTGTTGATGCAGAAAATATTATAATTATTATTTAAAAATTAGCTCCAAGTGCCATCCGAACAGCGGCAGCAGTCTGATGACGGTACCAAGCACCCAGCATACCAGGATGATGCCTGCGCAGTGATGAATATTTGTTGATGGCGGAAAATATTAGGATTATATTGTTAAAAAAGTAGAAAAAATCAAGGACGAAAGAGGTGAAAGACAGTGTTCAGTCAAACCTCATTCCGGAGCATTCAACAACAGAGAGAAATTCCCACGCATTGCGAAGTTAAATATCTATTGCTCATGATAAGAAATAATACTGTTAATGTTTCATTTAATATGAAAATTATACACGTAAGGAAAAGGAAAAATTCAAAAAAATGAACGAATAAGAGAGATGCAAGGAAACACCATTGTAATTTCATTGTAAGTTAATGTATTTATTGACAGAATTGTTAAGTCCTGATAATGTATGAAAATTCAGCCTGGGAAAGGATTTGACCTGCTCAAACATAATTAATTTAAGACTATAGGTAAACTTTTAACATGAACGCAAGTCTCTCTCAGTTAACGTTTAAATATAATGTAAGATTCCTAATATATGTTCAAAAGTAACGCACGAATCGCAGTAAACGTTCAAAATGAACGTATGAATTGCAGGACACGTTCAAAATGAACGCACAACTCTCATTAAACGTTCAAATGAGCACACAACTTTCAGTAAACGTTTAAATATAATGTAAGATTCCTAGTAAATGTTCAAAAGTAACGCAAGACTTGCAGTAAACGTTCAAAATGAACGCACGGCTGGCAGTAAACGTTCATTTTTAACGCACGACTATGAGTAAACGTTCAAAATGAACGCACGACTATGAGTAAAGATCAAAGTGAGCATTCAATAGATAACGAGCAAGTGAGTAGGAAAACATTATTAGGTACGGAGGAAGAAAAACGAACGAATTAGCTGTCCTGGGCATCTAAATTTCTTCTGGCCACATCGGGGAAGAACGGAATTAAAATGAACCACGAATGTCTTAGACGATTTGATTAGAAAATTCTAAAAAGATTTAATAATGCATAAAAACTCGAAACTATTCATCGCACAATATTACATCATTGAAACAATGTTTAAAGAATAAAAGAGATGAAATAAGGCGTTAAATGGTTTAGTGTACATGAAAATAAAAATGATCAAACTAGCCAATAATTTCAGGCATGGCGTAACACGAACGCATTCGATAATTAATAATGAAAATTTAAATGATTAATTCCCGTAAATTAATATTAATGAATAATAATATGAATCACACGCTACAATTATCCTCAATTATATTATAATTGGTTTTTTATACTCAATTATAAAATAACTAAAAATCAATGCAGTATTTGATATAAATAGTAAAAGGAGAATTGGCTTTGAGCTAACAGCCGTAGCTATTTTAGGTGGCAGAGGCAAACAATTTCAGGGCTATAAACAGCAGCTACGAACTTCCCCTAATTAACTTCTAAAACAAATGACCGTCCAAGTTATCAACTTGGAACGGTGAAAATTACAGGAGCTTTGTCCCGAACAAAATGTGTGCGACTGAAACCCGCTATCGCATCAACAAAAAATAGTGACACAAACTTCCTGGAGAAGAAAGGATCGGTGACCGAGAGCAGAAGCCATTTCCCGAACCATGGAGAGAATTTATAACAAAAAGCGAGAGCATCGAACGAACATTGAGCGAGCAGTGAACGAACAGTGGAAGAGCAGTGAATGAACCTTATTCGAACCATGATCGAACAATGCCTCTGTCCTCCTGCTCGAAACAGGAAGAAAGAGGATAAAAAATACAAGTTAATTGAGTTCGCCGAGGAAAATCAACGGACTGCAATATCCAAAAGTCGACTGGTCAAATATGTGCGCAAGAATCATGCAACGAATTTCGGAGGGTTTTACGAAAATCACCTCACGATGAGAGTTATCAGGGCGCTGAAACCTCAGCCCCCGCTCATAAAACCGCCCAGAAAATCGCGGGATTTGGTTGGGCTTGAGAAATGCTTGACTTCAGTCTCGCCCTGACGCCTAAATCCCCCAAACAAAGACTGTTGGGCCATGACAAGATGGAGGCGAAGAAGAATTTGCCACGTGGTTTGAAATTGAAGTGCCAGTGTCTGGATTTTTTACATCAATTCCACCTTTTTTATCAGCATTGATAGCGACAACTTGTATCGTTGATGAAATGATAATTAATAATAGACGACTACTTGCATCGTTGATGAACTAATAATTAATAATAAACGACAACTTGTATTGTTGATAAAATGATAATTAATAACAAAAGGTAACTTGTATCGTTGATGAAATGATAATTAATAATAGACGACAACTTGTATCGTTGATGAACTAATAATTAATAATAAACGACAACTTGTATCGTTGATGAAAAGATAATTCGTAGTAACGCCGACAAAAGGGGAGCGCAGCCGTGGGTAACAAAATTGACTCGTAAACAAGCCCTGGGCCCAACGCCAACCATCAGCATGCAATATCTACACATAGCCTCAGATCAATAAGCTGTGGGTAACTCCGGCTAACAGTAAATCCGCTTTGCACAACACAGCCACTGCTTCACAGCGCCGGAGCACAACTGGCCGGAGCGCAACGGGCCCTACCGCAACAGGCGGCGCAGGTTAGGTTAGGTTAGGTTAGGTTACGTTAGGAGTAGCTGTTGCTGTAGGGCCTGCTGCGCTCCGGCCAGTTGTGCTCCGGCCTGTATGCGCTGCGGCCTGTGACTGAACGGCGCTGTTGTGGTGGGCGCTTTGTGTCAAAAGCCGTGAAGATGCCCGGCTGCGTTACGCTCGGGAAGGTATATGAATCGCACTGTGGACTTGGGCTATGCTGACCTCTAGCTATCCACCCGACAAAAGATGTCACGGAAATGTTGGAAAAAGGACATTGCATCAAGTTGTAAGTTTCCAATTTTGAGTTATGGTAAATAATGCTGTCTAAGAAAAAATAATTTTTAAATAAAAATTAAAACCGGACGTTTTTATGAATTAAGTCTAATATAGACATTTGTTCAGCTAAATAATGATGACCACAGGACTAAATGGCATGATCGGGAAATAACAAAATTGCATGGCGATTGGCAGTTTTCATTCAATTTTGAATTGAATAATTTCGTCACTTTGCGATCAAGGAATATTTGAGAATGCAAAAAATATTTGCCCCTCTGTTCTATAGCGCTGACATTATAAAATGTGAGCTCTACTTACACGCATGTCGAGGAATGCTCCAACCATCACAAGAGACTATCAGTATAATGCGATCATTGCTTACACGCATGTCGAGAAATGTTCCGACCATCGCATGAGACCATCGGTAGAATGCGATCATTGCTTCACGCATGTCGAGAAATGCTCGGACCATCACATGAGACCGTTGTTAAAATGCGATCATTGGTTACACGCATATCGAGAAATGCTCTGACATTATACCATCGGTAAAATGCGATCGTTGGTTACACGCATGTCGAGAAATGCTCTGACATTATACCATCGGTAAAATGCGATCGTTGGTTACACGCATGTCGAGAAATGCTCCGACCATCACACAAGTCAAACACTCGATCAGGTCGCGGCAATGCAGCTCAGTCTTTGCGCCGCTCAAACACACACAGCGCGGCAGCGGCTCAACATCAATGGGAGAATCCGAATTCAATAACAGTAAATACTGGTATACATTAAGCGAATAAACACAAACTAAATTATATTGACATAAGTAGTCCCTCTTGAGACAAGACAAGACATTGCAATTGCTTCATATTTTTTCCTTTTGATCATACAAATCTTCAGAAATATAGAGAAGTTAAAAAATGATCCTAAGGAAATTATCTTGAATAATCTAGTTAAAAATTTTTCTCCAGCATCAGCTTGTTGAGACTGCCAGCAACACTTCCAAATAAATCAAGGGAAAATACGATATACAGTGGGGGGAAATAAATATTCGTACACTTGAAAAATCGTATTTTAATGATGCATTGAGATTTAATTTCTTTTGATAGTATTTTTGAATACTATGCGTCTCTATACATAATTTAAATCACTTTTCCTGTTAAGTTTGTGTACTTAGGTACATACATTAAAATACGATTTTTCAAGTGTACGAATATTTATTTCCCCCCACTGTATCAAAACAAACTTTAATTATAATCCTAAATTCCTATTAATGAATTGCGGTCATGCATATATCTCGCTCTCGTTATTTTGTAATGAATAAAAGCCTATTAAAGAGCTTACAGTCATGATTTTTTTTTTCGTGTACAATGTCTTTCTCATATCCGGGGAATACCTAGACAAGAACGTCGGACATTCAGCACAAAAGCTTCATTCCACTTCCATAACAACTATTTTATTTAATTTAACCGTTCGATTGTGGATATTATTCTCATTATTATCACATATCGAAATAATATGTGATATGTACGCATGCTGGTCGAAATAGTAATGTCATGTTTCGGTAATTACAAATTGTAATGCTCATTCCCATGAATATTCTCTCTTATATGGAGGATAAGATCAAGAAAAATCCGACAGCTTCCAATTAGAGATAGACCAGGAAGGAAGCTCCAGGGTGGTTAACTAGGTTAATAGGGATAATTTATTCATCACTTCAATGAACTACAAGCCCCATGCAATAGGGACGTAATCTCGAATTCAAATTTGATTCCGAGTGGCGCACGACAGTTGATGTCAATCACTGCAATGCTGATGGCCGAGCCAAAAAATAACCGCGGAGGAATATTCAGATGTTCATATTACATTTCCTGATGAAATATGCAGGAAAAGTTCGGAAATCATAAATATAGTAAGAAAACTATTTCAATTTATCCCATGTACTTATCGTGAGAAGACAAACTCATAGCCATCAAATGTGCTACGCATAAATCAGACGTAATATAAGCAAAAATATTAAAAGTCAAAATTTTGCATAGCTAGAGCTAAAAAATATT